CTGAACTGAAGGAATATAATAATAACACTTTGTCATCTCCATTTATGACAAGCCTTTGGTCCACTTTCCAAAAATGGATAAATTCAGGATATTTAGTGGGTGGTGGATTGGGGTGCCAGTGTTTGGCTATATGTCAACACCAACAACGTTTTTTTCAACTTGGACTCTTTGCTGCAATTATTACTCACAATCTCCAATTGGGAAAAAAAAGAAAAAAAGAAAAAGTACTTCACAGTTCACGTTGTTATGAACAAGTCCTTCTAACAGTCTTCCTTTAGTAGTCAATATTTTGCAAAACTCAAAATTATTTTACTTCATTATCTTTCAATTTCAATCTTTTCTTCACGCCTTACATCCAACAACTCATGCATGATTTTGGACGGTGATAAAGATAAGAAACGTATTTTAAAATTTTACTTTAGAATTTTTTTTCCCAAATATGTAATCACGATACAAAGGAGGACAAGAGAAAATAAAGGTTAATACATAGTCGGGGGCATGATTCACGGCCGAATTGTGTAGACAATATATGTATGCATGCCCATTTTAGACGAAAAAATACATATAATTATTTACACAATATTTTGTAGGGTTTATTACAAAGTGTTATGCAATTTAATTTGCAATATTGGAAAGTCTTATGTAATTTAATTTGCAACTCAAAATTACTTTAGGAGTATATTTTTTTTTTCTCCAACAATTCACGTGCATGATTTTGGACAATGGTAAAGATAAAAATCTTATTTTAAAAGTATGCTCTACGATTTTTTTGTGAAGATAAGAGGAAGAAAAGGCTCAAACATATTCATGGACATGATTCACGTCAATTAGGCCAAATTTTGTATACATATTGTGGGGAGTACTAGTATTATTTTCAGCTAAAAAAAAATAGATCTACAAAATCTTTTTCACTTGTTAAATATCATGTACGTACCAAACACGTAAAATCTCACATGTTAGTGATAGTAAAATATGTTATAGGCAAATCGAATAAGAATTAACGATATAATTTCCCCTTATTAGGACCTGTTTGAGCTCCACTGTTTCCTCGTTAAAATGAAAAATATGATCGTTATCCATCACATCAAAAGCTACTATATTTGACTTTTTATCTTTTTGTGGGGTCCATAAGGACTATATTTTTCATTCTCATTTTTACAATAATGTGGCTCAAACGGGGGCTAAATGTTAAGAGCATGACCAAAAATGCAAAAGTGATAAAATTCAAATACACCTCTCTGCATATACACATGCACTCACAATTGTGGTTACCAAATTTGATAGGTATGTAACAAATTAAGGAAGATAAGCTGTCTCATATATTCTTTGAAGCTATTCACAATTATACTGCATTATTCATTACAAACCCTAAAATCCAACCAGAGGGCTAAGAAGAAGAAGTAAAGCTTATTAACCTTTGGTTCCTTTTCTCTTTTTAAATCCTTTCCTCTTCTTTCCTTTCTCCTGTTTAAGAATTTCATACTGATAGAGTAGTAAGCTTTATTCTGATCAGCTTCTATTTACGTATTCGATTTTGATGTCAGTTTCTTGCACAGTAGCCATGTTTCTTTACTTTTATAGCTTAAATCTTAAGATAATTGTGTAAAATTTGACTAAACTTTCTGTTCTATATTCTTTTGGTTTTTTATAGCCTTGATCAGTGTTTCTTTCTTGTAAAAGTCTGGGAAAAATTTAGATCAAGAAAAGGTTTTCTCTATTTCAAGGCTTGGACAGTTGAACTAAGAAAACAAACTTTTTTTGTAGGCAAATATGGGAAGAGGGAAGATTGAAGTGAAGCGGATTGAGAACAAAACTAGCAGGCAAGTCACATTCTCAAAACGCAGAACCGGTTTGTTGAAGAAAACCCACGAACTTTCTGTGCTTTGCGATGCCCAAATTGGACTTATTGTGTTCTCAAGCAAGGGAAAGCTTTTTGAGTATTCAAGTTCTCCTTCGAGGTAAAAGAGGATTCTAGATATTAGACAATTTTAATTTATGCACTAGAAATGGTCACAAGGGTTAATATCTTCTAGTATTTGATTTGATGCATTTCATTGTGTAGTTTTTTCATAATTAATTAGATATGGATCCGTCTATTTGAAGATCTTTAAGTGTTCCTCCCTTAATTTCTAGGGTTCTATATGTTCTTCCTTTTTCTCTCTCTACATTTCTCTGTCTCTCTTCAACATGATCAGTACATGCCTCAGTAGATGTGCTCTGGACCATCAATCATCACTGTCTCATTTGACCTATTAATTACCTCAGTTCCTTGACCTTCCTTTTCATCTTGTAAAATAGGGTTTTCTAAAATTTTTCTCTGATTACAGAATTTTGATTAATAATTAGAAGATTACTATCCTAATTTCTGTCTATGCTATATATCTCCTGATTTTTAATGATTATGAGTCTGTGAAAAGTACTCAAAAGAGAAGAAACTGACAATTATTTACCAGAAAGAAGTCTAATAAATTAACCTTTACCTGCCCCAAAAATGGTTTAAATCTACCATTAGAAATGGAAAGATATATATATTTGTTGTGAGTATTATAGATTTTGGAGTCTTCTTAATTTCCATTTCATAATTTACTAAATTGCTCATTTCTTAACTTGACAACGAAAAAATTGATACATCAAATGTTTAATCATATAAATCTCCTAAAGAAGTACTTAAGAATATTGTAATTTGCATACATTTTTTTTCTTATCTTTCACTTATATTCAAATTCTGGCTTCTTGATTATGTTTCTCATTACTGCAGCATGAGGCAGATCATAGAACGTTATATGCAAGCTAAAGGGACTTCTATTCTGCAGCGTGACACCGGGATGGGAGAGGTGTCTAATTACAATGTAAACAAAGTGATCTTAATTATTTAAGTTATTAGTAGTTTCTTCTTAGTAACCAGAATAATCTTTATCTCTACACACACACCTACCTCTTTCTCTCACATGGTGTCTTTTGAACTGAAATCGTGCAGGAGCAACTGCATACAGAGATGAAAAGAATGAAAAGGAAAACTATTGACCTTCAACTGAGCGTGCAGAGGTATCAGGGAAATGTTGATATGAATTCTTTAAAGTTGGAGGAATTGGTTGAACTCGAGCACCAGCTCGAGATATCCGTTAACAAGGTTCGAGCAAGAAAGGTACACTCCCCCCCATTTCCACATCAATTCGAATTTTTCAGAAAAATCATAGCCCTTTACGTTACTGAACCTTAGATGGAAAGCCTGTCTCGAATTTAGTCTTTAAAGCACATTAATTTGCAAATCCTTTAGTGCAACTCGTACTTGCAGTTGATGCTACGTTTTTCTGCTTAATTATCATATTTGTTAATCCCTTATTTGTTGTACTTTTTATCAGTTTCAGCTCCTGAATGAGCAGATTGAAAATCTGAAGAAGACGGTAATTTGTGATTTTACCCGTGTGTATGCGCGTGGATGTTAGTTTTACTGTTTAACTATTTCTCTATGCTGCTGTTACAGGAAAATTTGCTGGAGAAGGAAAACCAAGATATGTACCATTGGGTAATCATTAATGTTAAATTCTTTTTAAGATTTACGAACTGCATATTTCTCTAGATCATTTGTTTGATGTTTTGAATATTGTTTTCCATTCACTTCATAATTTAAATGCTCAATTGGGATTTAAATTAGAGATCCTATTCAACTGGGAAACTAGAAAGTTTATCATACCATTGTATAAACATAATCAAGTAGATTTCACTGATGCTGCAACTTTTCTTGATTAGCTGATGAACAGTCACATTCAGAGTCAAGCAGAAGCAATGGAGCATCACCATCTCCATCACCAACAGGCAATGACAGAACTCAGATTGCTGGAAGAGCAGCCTTTGTTGAATCAGCTTCAAGTTTTTGGACAAGATTTGCAGCCGTCTGCAAATGCTATACCCATGCTTCAACTTGGTACTCTACCTCTTAATAATAACTCGTATCACCTCCAGCCTACCCACCCTAACCTTCAAGAATCTGGCCTGCAAGGCTTTCCGTATGGTATGAACAACCATTTTTTTGCACAATTTTTTGACTGTTCTGGATCATAATATTTTATCGTAAAATGGTTAAAGCTTTACCTTTTTAATATTATTGTTTGTTCTGATTGTGATTTTAGTATGCAGCGGAAATAAGGATAGATTCTATCAAGACCGGATCAGTTCAGTAATAAGAACAGAACAAAGTATATTTTGAGAGAAACTTTTTTTTTTATATATGAATTATTTGATTTGAGTACATGACAAACCTATTTATAGGATAGCATAAGACTACTAAGAGTCACACAATTATGAAGAATAATAATGACTAATAATGATGGTGCCTTTTGGCAACTCCAAAATGTGTTTGTGATGGCTTACTCATGAATCTAGAAAGTAAGCTTGCCGCAAACATCAAATCTGGTCTTGTTGCTGTCAAGTACAGTAAACTTCCAACAAGACTCCTATATTCCTTCTCATTGATTGGCTGGTCTCCATCTTCTTTGGATAATTTTGTGTTCAACGCAACTGGTGTATCAACTGGTTTACACTGCTGCATCTTGAACCTCTTCAAGATATCACTTGCATATTTCTTTTGTGAAATGAAAATACCATTTTCTGTTTGCTCAACCTCAATGCCCAAAAAATACTTCATCTCTCCAAGATTTGTCATCTCAAATTCTTCCTTCAATTTATCAGCAAACAAATCAATTTGCTTTTTACTGTTTCCTGTGATAAGTAAATCATCCACATACATGGATAGAATCAAGATATCAGAATTTTCATCACTCTTCACGTAAAGAGTATGTTCATTTTCACTCCTCCTGAATCCTTTAGCGCATAGATAACCATCTCTTGGCGCCTGTTTCAAACCATACAAGGCCTTTTTCAGCTTGCATACATGATCGAGATAGATTCTAGACTGGAAACCTTCAGGTTGTTCAACAAAAACATCCTACTCCAGTTCACCATTGAGAAATGCGGATTTTATATCCAACTGATGTATCTTCCACTTCTTTTGTGCTGCTAGTGCAATCAATAATCTGATGGTGTCAAACCTTGCAACCGGTGCAAAGGTCTCAAAATAATCAACACCACTTTCTTGTGCAAATCCTCTAGCAACTAACCTTGCTTTGTATTTGTTCACTGTGCCATTTGGATTCATTTTTGCCTTGTAAATCCACTTCACTCCAATCACTTTTCTTTCATCAGGACGAGGTACCAATTCCCAAATCTGATTTTTATGAATCATCTCCATTTCAGTTTCCATTGCATCAACCCATTCAGAATGTTGTTGTGCCTCTTCATAACTGCTGTGTTCAACCACTGCCATATTACACCTCTGATAAATCTCATTCAAAGATCTGGTTCCTCTAGGAGCCGAACTAGATCTTGAAGATTCAGAATTTTCTGCAGTAGGTGCGATAGATTCTATCTCGGAAGACTGAACTTCTGGTGTTGGAGTTGAAGTTTCCACTGGGATAGGAGGAAAAACTGCTACATGTTGCTGTGTATTGGTTTCATTAAAATTCCACTTAGAACTTTCATCAAATTTTACATCACGGGATATCACAACTTTTCCAGTTTCTGGAAGATAGATTTCATAGCCCTTTGTTAGTGAACTATAGCCAATAAAGATCCCCTTCACAGCCTTTTGCTCCAACTTGCTTCTTTTCTGATCTGGGACATGAACATAGCACAAAGACCCAAAAACTTTCAGATGCTTGGCTGTAGGTTTCATTCCACACCATGCCTCAATAGGTGTCATGTTTTTCACAGCTTTTGTAGACAACCTATTTTGCAAATAAACGGAAATATAAACTGCTTCTGCCCAAAACGAATTTGGAAGTCCCTTCTCAGCTAGCATACATCTGGCCATCTCCATGACAGATCTATTTTTCCTTTCTGCCATTCCATTTTATTGCGGAGTGTAGGGAATGGTAAGCTGCCGATGAACTCCATAATCCTCACAGAATTGATTGAAGTTGGTAGATGTATACTCCTTGCCATTATCCGATCTCAAGGTCAGAATTTTACATCCAGATTGTGCCTCTAACATATTCTTGAATTTTTTGAACACATTGAACACATCTAACTTATTTCTCATGAAGTACACCCAACACATTCTTGTAAAGTCATCAATGAATAGCACAAAATACAAATTATGACTCAAGGATGGAGTTTTCATGGGACCACAAATATCAGTATGCACAAGCTGCAATTTTCCAGATGCCCTCCATGCACCATCATTAGAAAATGACTCTCTATGCATTTTCCCCAAACTACAGCTCTCACATACTCCTCCAGATTCATGAATTTTAGGCAAATCTCTCACCATGCCATGAGAATGCACATATGACAAAGACTTGTAATTATAATGACCATATCTTCTATGCCACAAATCAGATTCATCCACATCAACTCTAGACATATTTGCAAGTAAGCTATGCCATTGAATGCTAAAACTTCTATTATGCATAGGCAAACTAACAATTTCAACATCATGAGGATTATAGATTTTGCATTTCATATCTCGAAAATGCACAGCATATTTCTTTTCAAGCATTTGACCCACACTTAGTAAATTTGAATCCAAGCCAGGCACTAAAAGTACTTCATCAATATATCTTGTACCTTTCTTTGTTTGGATAGTAATGGTACCCTTACCTTTGGCTGGTAGGACTCCTCCGCTTCCAATTTTCACCGTGGCCTTCACATTTGTGTCTAAATTGCGAAAAATCTTTTCCATATTGGTCATTGATTGGTGCAACCACTGTCTACAAACCATGTTTCCTTGCTACTCAATTCAGCTCCGTGAACAGTTACAAACAAATGGTTTTCACCATTCCTTTCATGTGCAAATGCTGCTTGCTGATTTTGATTTCTTTGTTGATATTGTGGCTGATTTAGATTCTGCTTTTTGGCTCTACAAAACTTTTCAATATGGCCCACTTGCTTGCAAAATTTGTATTGCTTTGTCTTCCAACACTTCTTCTCAAGATGGTTGGTTTATCCACAATGAATACAAGGAGAAAATGAGTCTCCTTTGCCTTTCTTCTTCCCTTCTTGGTGTTGTTTTCTTCCACTTTCACTTGAACTTTGCGGTTTAAACTTTTTCGCAAGAGCTCCTTCAATAGTTACCTCACATCTTGACGTTAACCTTTGCTCATAGGCTAACAAAGCACCTGTAAGTTCAGTTAAAGAAAGACTAGACAGATCCTTTGTATGCTCTATAGCCGTGGTAACAGCATCAAACTTTTCGGGTAAGGTAATCAACATTTTTTTGCACCACTCTTTTGTCTGGTACGTCCTCTCCATTCAATTTAAGCTGATTTACCACATTAGCCACTCTAGAAGAGTAGTCCTTTACGGATTCAGCATCCTTCATCCTTAGATTTTCAAACTCTCTGCTCAAAGTTTGCAATCTTACTGCTCTCACTTGCTCAGACCCTTTGTTCTCTTCTTTTAATTTATCCCAAGCCTCTTTTGCTGTTGTAACAGCCACAATCTTGGGAAAAATTGTCTCAGTGACAGAAGAGTGCAAGAAGGTAAGAGCCTTCATATTTTTTATTCTACGATCCTTCTCTTGCCTCATTTGATTCACAGTAGGGTCTGCATCCAACTCCTGTGGAGTATAACCTTCTTCAACAATCTCCCATAGATCATGTGCCATCAAGAAAGCCCTCATTCTGACAGACCAATACTCATAGTTTTCGCCTCCAAACATCATGGAGATAGGCATTGAAGTTAGAGTAGAATTTGCCATTTTTCCTCTTTCTCACAGGCCTTTAAGATCAGGAGTGCTCTGATACCAAATGTTTGTTCTGATTGTGATTTTAGTATACAGCGGAAATAAAGATAGATTCTATCAAGACCGGATCAGTTCAGTAATAAGAACAGAACAAAGTATATTTTGAGAGAAACTTTTTTTTATATATATGAATTATTTGATTTGAGTACATGACAAACCTATTTATAGGATAGCATAAGACTACTAAGAGTCACACAATTATGAAGAATAATAATGACTAATAATGATGGTGAATGCATCCATCTCTTCATCTTCCTCTCCAACACTCTTCATCTTTCTCTCTAACACTCTTCATATTTCATCGTGTGGAGAAAACCAAAAGTCTTCAATAATCAACAATTATCGAGTTGCTCCAGTATACCAAACAAATCATAAGTGTGTGCTTATGTTACCACCAATTAGCAGAAAAACGAGCTGGAATTCAAATTCTTGATATAATCATTCCTAGTTAAGAGTGTAACACATATGTGACCAGCAATTTAAAGGGCTTTTTCAGAAATTAGGTGAATATTAATTTTTTAAATTTAATATGCAGTGTGATTCAAGGCATTTGGATGAGAGGGACTGTAGCTGGTTCATCAGGACAAGAAACATATTCAGACACTCTTCTGTTCTTTATTATCGAACAACGTGTTTTCTTAAAATTCTATATGTTTTTACATTAATCTTCTGTGCATGACATTGGAGTGTGGTTATGTAAGTGTGTTTGGTAACTTCGTTTTCTAGAGTAATATATTTTTTCATCTTCAATCATGCGCTATTGAAGCTAGAATTATTGTAATTGCTAGCATGAGACTTGCCTTCAATGAGTACATGTTAAGAGATCTACAGACTAGGCTCCTGTTTGTCATCCATTTTCTCTCATTCTTTTTCATTATTTTTTTTACAATACTCATTTTCAACCACACATTTTTCATTAAAATAATATTGCACGTAAATAAAAAATATTTCTTTCTTTTTTAACCACACATATCAACGTCAATCACTATTTCATAATACATTCATTCCAAATAATGGGTAGCAAACACACCCTAGATACTACGCATTCTGATTAGGTCAACTTCGTAAGTCCATTATTATTATTTTTATCACGGATAAATCTTTTTATACTACAGAGCCCCTCACAAGAGAGGGGTGGGAGGGGGCCCACATCTTGTGAAGTGGTCTATATACTGGAGTGTCAATCTCAATGTATATATAACATGTTTGTTATGATTACTATGTCTCCATGTCAAAATTAGATAATTTGCACGCCTCCCACCTCACTTAGACACGATAGCTGTATTTTAATACAAAGGTCACTTGTGGTTTTGGCTTGTTTTGGTCTGTCAGATGTCTACTAATTTTTAATATTATATAGTCACAAATAATGCTATTTTATGATAAAAGGGTCATATTATTTGGGTTAATGCTTATTGTAAAAAAAAAAAAAAAATTACGAGTCGCATTGCACTATTATTTGACACCATATTTCAGCATAAGTTTCATTTAGGCATCACAAATAATTATTTCAAGGATATATTAGTTGTAAATTAAGCTCTTCATTAAGAAGTCAGAAATGCTTTAACTTTTAGCAGAAATCGACACATTCTTAGATTTCTTAGATGCAGTAGTTTCTTTTAGGCTCTATCTTCGAAATCAAAACCTCTTTCTCCATCACCTGTCACTCACTACTAAGCCACACTAATCACTTTCCCACCATCCAAAGTTGATAAAACAAAAATTGTAATTAGCTGAGTTAAATGGATTGGATTTCTAATACTCAAAAATGCAAATGTTCAAAATAATGCTATGAATCTATTTTTGTCAATTGTTGTAGTTTAGGAGCTTAAAAAGCCCATTGACTATTAAACTTGATAATCCTATAGCCCATGAATACTTGTGAGCTCTCGGCCCAAACACTCCATATTTTCATTGGGCTATAAGGCCCAACACGGAAGATCTAAAAGCTGAATATTGGCATTGATTATTATGAACAAATAAAAATAAAATCAAGAAAAAGAAAAGAGAAAAGAAAGGGGAAAAAAAGAAAGAACAATCATCTTTCCCAATACCCAACCAAGCACCCCATTACGATCGATTCTTGAATCCATCTCATCCCCCCCTCCCCCTCCCCTCCCACATCATCATTGCCATTGGCAAGAGAAGTTTTTAGCATTAAATCTAAAAAAATAACATAACCTAGATATGTAGATTTTGAAGTACTTTCTAACCTAGGTAGTTGTTTGGAAATGATGATTAAATTCATGGGTTGAGACGGCAATGACGAAGACGACGGCACTGCAACTAAATTCACATCTTAAAGAAGAAGAAGAGGAGATAAATACCGAAGAAAACTAGGAAGAAATAAAGTTTTGAAATTAAATTACTTATTGTCACATCTTGTAAGTCTTGCGAGTTTTTAGAATCTTTTGTAAATGAAGACATATTATCTGGAAAAATCCCCGATTGCCAGTGGTGGGGAAACCAAGGCGATTTGCCGTTGGTTACATTGGAAAAAGGGGGGGGGGTTGGAGTGTTATTTTTTGTTTTCTGTAATTTTATTATTATTTTTAAATCAAATAAAAGGTTAAATGATTAATTTGCTCAATCTTTGACCATATAAGAGTCAAATTGATGGTTTCCGTTACAAAAGGCTTTTAGACGCAAATGTTTGAAAGATTTGAAACTCCGATAATAGAAATTAGCACCCTATTTGAGACGCATTCTTTGGAAAAAAAAAAATATTTTTGAACAGCAATTTGATATTATTTTAATCACATATTTTTCAATAAAATAATATTACACGTAAATCTAAAAAAAATTTCTTATTTTTTAACTACACATTCTCCATCAATTTATTATTCTAAAATATATTCTTTTAAAATAGTGTGGCTCATGCACATACTAGAAATTTTAGACTCATCATCATAACATTCAAAAGATTTGGGACCCCAGGTGTATTTACTCTAAAATGAAAAATGGTTCCATTTTTCTCATCAACACATTCCCACC